CATTAATGGAGCTCACGAGCCGAGCCCGGCGGTGGGCTGTCAGATACTGAGTAACACTCACGCGACTTCCCCATAATCGATTCAAAGTACTGGCTTTCTGCTCGTTGAACAAGACGGAGCATGCTCTCAGAGTAGAAAGAGAGAGAGCCAAGCTGCTCTCTTCCTTCTCCATCTCTCCCCTGCAATTAAGATCATACACTGAGGAAGCGAAGATCTCCAATGCGAATCATCACCTTCTCTTACTAAACCCTCAATTTGCTCAGCCTCGCAAGTCACCAGAAGGGCTGAAAAGCGAAAAGAAAAAAATGCCATTCTGGAATACTACCTTCCTAACCAACGATCTCTCCAAGCAAACCGCAATCTTCGGCATCCGCCTCTACATTTTCATCGGAATCTGCGTCGGAGCCGCCATAGTTCTGGTCCTATTCCTCCTCTCCCTCTGCTTCCTCTTCCGCCACCGCAGCCGATCCCTCCCTCCCCCTTCATCTTACTCATCCTCCCGCAAACCCCTCAAACTCTTCCTCCGAGACTTCACCCCTCCGATCTCCAAGGAAATCCTCGACATCGTCCGTCACCGCCCTGCAAACTCCGCTGCGGCCCCTCCAATCGCTCAGATTGAGGTCTCCTTCCGCAAGGATGACCAAATCGGGCTGATCTCCGACCACCAGCGATCGAATGCGAGCGGGAAGAGCATTCGCGGTGCCGCCGATCGCTTGGCTTTTGTTAAAGGATTAGTGCGCCCGCCGGATGTTTCGCATCTTGGATGGGGTTACTGGTACACGCTCCGGGAGCTCGAAATGGCCGCCGGAGGTTTCGCCGATGAGAATGTGATCGGAGAAGGGGGTTATGGGATCGTGTATCGCGGAGTTCTGGATGATGGGTCCATCGTAGCGATCAAGAACCTGCTCAATAACAGGTTTTTCTTTTTTTTATTTATTATTATTTTACACAAATTAGCTGAATTTTGCATGATGGTTTGACATAAGGTCGATTCTGATAAAATTTCGGCCTGAGTTTTGACTAAATTTTGTTCGGTATAGCCCCAAAACACTG